GCCTGGCATCATTTTGACGTCCTAACTGTCAACCTGAAATACAATTGAGAGCTTTTGTGTCACTCCTGCGAATATATTATTGTTAGGATCATGCAATATTTTATAAAATAAGCTACGAAAATTGGTATCTGTTCCTACATATTTATTGCTCATAAACACTGGGTGAAACATATACTACAAAAATACACATTGAATGCATGCGCCAGAAACGTCGCTTGTTTCCTTTCTTCTTCTTTTTGCATGTCTTATCTTTTAGTCTTGTGCCTTGGGTGTTGACCACCAAAAAGAGCCATGGAGCATTCCTGAAAAGCAAAACCCAGTTGTATACCATGATTAGATACATATAGGACACTGTCAAGGCCCCACACCTTACTTAATGAGCATTACCAAAAACCAGGAACTCAGCCAACTTCATAAATATTTTGCACACCATTGAAGAATAGTCGGGTGGAAAGTTTACCAGTTTAGATACAGGCGCAAGGCTGGCAAACCGAAAACACAGATAAAAAGCATGTGTTTTCAATACACTTAAACAACTGATTTTGGCGGTTTTCAACAATGCCAGCCTGTTTCTTATTGCAACTGTGTTTATTTTTTACTAATAAAATGCACAATTAGCCGAAAAATGCCATAAGCAACCTTGTACTGTGGCGCCTAACCAGATAAACGAATGTCAACATCAGAGGTGTCCTAATGCAAGCTTCCTTTAACAAAATTTTGGACCACCTAAAACTGTGCTCTCAAACACATTTGAGTGTAGAGGCCAGATAGCCCACCCCCAAAAGATCGAGGGCTTCGGTAAGGCATGGGGGTCAAGAAATTTGTTAAAGGGACCTTGCGCTCTCCACATTTTGTAACTTGCAATCTTGACAGTGGCATTTTAGCCGTGATTCATTTGTAGTGCTCCCCTTATCCCTTTCCTGATGCAATCACAAGAATTAAAGTGGTACTGCCACCAACATACTGGCATTTTGTAAGAGGACAAGAGAACAAGTACACTGTTGTTGCCGTTGCTTATTTCACTCAGGATATATTCAAGCTCAACATGTCTCGAAAGAATGCCTTTTGCTTTTCTGAGAATTTCTGATAGCACCAGTCTGAGCGAATACTTGTATTTTACTGGAGATATTTTCTGAGGGCGAGAATCCAGAGCTCATTAATTTATCTTTGGTGGTTGCTTCGGGCAAGCGATAGTTCATGCAGTTGAAGTGCATCCTTGGGCAAAGTGCTCGTGGTTGCAGCCTACCAGCGGAATTGTCGTGCAGGTGCTAAATACTAAAAAAAAAAGACGGGAAGGAAAAATAGAGACTAAACACCTGAAAAATAAAAACGAAACTACATGAACTATGTGGATATGTTATAAGAGCATAGCTACGTTTTCAGCGTAAATGAATAGACCGATCCCACCAAGTTTTCCACGCATGCGTGACGCCGCCATAACTGCAGTTCGTAAGAGGCAGACTCCAGTTCACGCGACAGGTCATGCTGCCTCGTGGTCTGCTCGCGCAAACCTCCAGCATGGTTGTCGCGCGTGTAGAAAGACTACAGCTCCCACGATGCATATCGGCAGCGGTGGCGTACTCAAACTAGCTGGTGAGATCGGTCTATTAGCGACATATTATAATGCATGCGATTTGTAATGCTCGTTATGAGAACGGGAGGTTGCAGCTGGTTTCCTGTCGGCCGTGTTCAAGCAAGTCGCGAGCTGCGTCTTCCAAGCACTGAGCAGATTAATTTTACCCAGTTATCTATTACCTGCCAGTGCATCATAATCTGTACAATGGTGAATATATTCCGAGTCACTACTTGCGCGCCGCACAGGCTAAGGCAATGCCCGAAGAGGGGAAAGGGCAAGCGCTAGAAAGGCGGGTGAGGAGAGTAACCTCCTCTTCTATCTAACATTCGTAGTGCTTTCCCCCTCTCCCCCAGCCCTGCCCTCCCCTCCCATATGCCTTCCTAGTGCTCGCCTTTTCTCTCTTCGCATGGCCGTTGCATTCACCTGGATTACACACAACTAGTGACACGGAGTATAATTGAAGGACGGTACACTCACAGATGTCAAAGCACTTGAAGAGTTCGCAACTTCGGTGCAATGCCACTGGTTGCACTTTTGTATCGCACTTCAGATGGGTTGATTTGCCCGAAGTACCTGGAAAATAATAAGAATGATAGAATAAATTAATGTGCCATAAACCAGGGCTGTGCAGACACACTCCAAAGAGTATTCGGGAATACTGAGATACATCTGCTTTAAGGCCAAAAATACAGATACTGAGATACATTGTCTTTTATGCAATGCTATATCCCCGAGAGACTTCCGCGAAACTGGTGAAAAAGTATTCAGGAATACAGATACAATGTGTAGTTGTACCTGTATTGTGGAGGGTGTAGTTCGTGGGGAATATGTACGGTCAGTGGCGTTCCAACTTGTTTTCCAGTCAGGAAGGGGGGGGGGGGGGGGGGGGGGAGTGCTCTTAGTATCCCTTGGGCGCCGCCGGCCAGTCTTTAACCTGCCCTGTGGCGGCTGTTTTAGGGGGGTGGCGGGGGGGGACAACACAGGACAGGAGGAGGCGAAAGCGGGGGTATGCACACCGAGGCGCTTGCACCGTCGGCGAAGCCGCCGTACCGGTGGCTTTTTTGCACGGCATTTGGAGTCTGCTCCTCACGTGATCGGATATCGGCAAATAGCGGCGCGGCGGCACGTGGAAACCAGACGCGCAACTCTGGCTGGAGCCTATAATCTCAATGCTGCACTAGAGTACCAGTTCCTGTATAGGCTCCCTGCGGGAGCCAGAGTTGCGCGTCTATTTTCTACGTGCCGCCGCGCCGCTATTTGACGAGATCCGACCACGTACCGTGCAAGAAAGTAACGTTGCACGCGCCCCGCCGTACGCACCCCTGCTTTTGAGCGCGCCGCGCGCCTCGTCGGTTTGAGAGTCAATGGTTCCAGTACCCTCTCCCTCTTCGAACTGGCCGAGCAGGGAGGGAATATGGTTTTGTTGTGTTGACCTCGGGGGCGGAAGATTACGCACGATGGGGACAAAGGCGAGTTTGGGGACTCAGTATCTAGGTCACAGCGCCTCAATGGTTGAACAGGATGTAGCTGACGTTTTGGGTGTAGAACGGGTGGGAGAGGCCTTGCGCGCGCGTTGTTTTCTCGACACTTAGCCTCGTGTCGAGGTGGCAGCACATATTCGCCAAGAGGTCCAAAAGTCGCGTGAGGAGCTGGATCAAAATGCCGTGCAGGAAAGACGGCGCTAAGAAGGTGAACGCGCAACTCTAAATCCCGTAGGGAACCTATAAAAGAACTCTAACTGCCTTGTCTTGAAGCGCCACCTTAGTTCCATCATCCCCACTGAAAATCGCATTGCATAACCATACGTGCGAGTGAAGCCGGTAACAAGCGCGAGCATGTTGCTCTGCAATCGAATGTTTCACCGACAGATCGTTTTATAGATACGCGTTGATTCATCGACAGCACAAACTACCTTTTTTTCTGTAAGGAGCTGCCTCACACTGTTGCCACGAAGCGGATAGTACGTGTAGGATACACCTGCGACGAAATGTCCCTACAACGCTAAATCCGCGTAACGACTGTCGATGGAACGGTAGTGTCGACGAACGAGAGTCCATGAAACATCTGTCCACAAAAAGTGTTTTTTGGCGAAACGATAGAGACCCGTTGCTCTGAATGACGCCAGCTCTACACGCAAGAATAATGTCTCGAAGCTGCGATGTCGTGCTCGTTTGTACACTCAGAGAACCGGGCACCGCCACCGCGCACACATGCCACAAATACAAAAGCGAAGAAACTCTGACATAAACAGGAGAAAAAGGAAAGCACGGCCCCAACTAGCAGGCCCCATGCCTCGCAAAACCCAGCATCCAACGAGTGCATGTAAACGGCAGACTTACCTTTATCGGGCGGGCACATCTTGGCTTGTGACTGCAGTGTAGCTACGTGCCAAGCATCGCTTCGTGAACACGATCCGCTTTGTCCAACCACCTTCTAAAAAAACACGCAATTCAAAGTAGCGCGAATGAACAAAGGCGATGTCACCCGCCAGCCGAAGCAAAAGTATGGCCGCCGAAGCACGCCGAGATGGAATGCAGGAGGTGAGGAGGTCAAGTCTCCTAGCAACACGAAGGCCAGATAACGCGCGAAACGCGATCGCTATCGTGATAGGTTGTCAGTCGGATGACGTGTAACCAGTGACTGCTAATCAGGACGCGCGCTCTACTCTATTACCGCGCGCATTTTGTTTGTTTTCTTGCGCTCTCCTGATAGCACTCCCTCTCCCCTTTTTGAAAAAGGAAAGGAGAGGGGAGGGGTGTAATGGTGCACCTGGCAACACCCTCGCCTTGCCCGCCGATTCCTTTGGGAGAGGAGGATTCGTGTGACGGGAGTGCGATTACGCTCGCCGGGTGTCTCCAGTCGAAGGGGGGTGTAAGGGTGCGCGATACACCCACGTACACCCTTTTTTTCTGAGAGTGATATCCAACACGTGCTTTAGTGGCTCCCTCTCGAGCCGTCGACACGGAGTGCGGCAGCCGTGTGCGCTCGATGAGCTCACTACTCCTCCTCTAGTTCAAGGCCACTCAAGCCGGGACCTACGACGTCATGAAGGAGGTTATTTTTTGCTTGTTTTTGTAATTCTAATTTGCCTATAACTTTTAAAATAAAGCGAAATTTGAGAAAAGAAAAGTTGAATTAAGTTACTACGTTCAGTACGCTCAGGTTCAGTGCAAATTAAAAACCAGTCAAAAAGTCATTGCAGGGCCCCTTTAAAGGGCAAAATTTGTATCGAAACAGCGATATATATATATATATATATATATATACCCCTGCAAACCGTCCCCTCCAGGCCGTCGCGTCATCCTTATCTTAATTGATAAAGTGTAAGAACAACAAACAATATATATATATATATATATATATATATATATATATAAAGAGTAGGCCTGAGCTTTTTTGTGATTTGTTAATTTTTTCTTTCTAGAATCAAACATTCCAGTTGTTTGAGAACAAATTATTCTAGACATGTGAATTCGACGTACCTTCCGTCTGACTTTTTAGCCGAGAAAGACACCTGTACCATAAAGAATCAGAACTATACATTCTGTAATGTAAGTACCCCTCCTATTTTGTTTTTATATATATCTGTTCGAAAACAGCTCTATATACTTTCTCCAAAAAAATGAATAATATATATTTTTTGGATTTCTTTATATATCTCCAAAAGATAACTTTTCACTTTCATTCCTAGCTATTTAACACTCGTGATTCAGTTAGCTATATCTTGTTATAATCATGAGACATCTAAGGTCACTTTTAGGGTACCGTTTACCCTCTACAATGAGAAGGCCGTATATTATCGTTTCCTTATCGGCTCATAAGGCTTTTAATGTTTAAAAAAAACGAATAAAAGTAACAAAACAAGGCAAAAAAGTGGCGAGAAAAAACTTCAAAACGATAAAAAATACCCTGATTTAACATTTCAACTATAGTATGATCTAACAGAATAGTGAGCACACTTAGGTTCACGAAAATTAAAAAGTTGAAAAAAAAAATCATCGTAATATTTTATCCTAAAAAGAAAGTCCATAGCTTTTTGAGTGCTTGGATTGCGTGGTGTTTTTTTAATTGTCTTGTTATTTCAACGAAACTCACAATTATTGTTTTGCTTGGTGAACCGTATTGTTTTTATATTTGCACCGCGTGGGCGGCATAAATTTCTGGTGGCGACTTGCGAAGAATAATTAAGTGGTTCTTATTTGGAAGGCATGGGCCGATACCACTTAGAAGACATTGTATTATGTCATCATTATAGGATTCTTTTTTTATTGACCCCAGGTGCCAATCACGCTTAAGCTCGACTAGGCCGCAGCGTTCAAAGTACCGAAATCGACCATTCGAGGAACTGCTCGAATTTTCACCAAGATGGCGCGCAGTTATGCCAGCATATTTATAGGAAAACTAGGGTCTGAATTTCTTTCTATATGCCACCTAAAGCCATTAATGTACAAAAGATTTAAAGCTGACATTTTTCTTGTTTGGATTCACACCGAGGCGGAGCTGCAGAAGTTTATAAATCATGGCAATACTGTTCACCCGAGCATTCATTTTACCCACAACTACTCTCAAAGAGATATTAACTTCTTAGACGTCTTTGTAAAAATAGAAGACTCCAAACTCTCAACAAAGTTGTACCGTAAACTAACCGACGGGCAACAATAACTCCATTACCGGGGCGATCACCCACATCATTGTAAAAACAGCATATCTTACAGCGAAGCCCATTGTTTTAAGCGTATTTGCTCAAAGGAGGAGAACTTTTGTGCTAGTAGCCAAACTTTAAAGATGGTATGAGAAAGCCAAAGTTATCCACCACGTGTAGTTGACGATGCAATTCAGAAAAACAAGCAATTCAACCGCACGGACCTCATTGATGGGCGCCACACGCAACGCGACACCCAACGTAACAATTTTTGCCTGTACTTTAAGATGAATGATCCTAATGTCAATAGTATCTTAAAACGGCATTACATTCTTCTAGAATAAAGCGATCGTCTTAAACGTGCTTTTGCAACCTGTCCTGCTGCAGTACATAGACGATCACCTTACTTCAAAGATACGCTTGTAAACTCCCTCGTAAATGCATCGCCCCCACATAACGAATGCATGGCCTCCATGGTATCAAAACGTATAGTCTGCAAACAGGTACAACGAACAAGCACGGCTGGCAGCGCACATTCGCAGTTTTTAATAAAAATTAAAGCATATTTTACATGTGACTCGTCGAATGTCATCTATTTACTAGAGTGAAAAATCCAATATGCAGTATGTGAGACAGACTGAAACGGCATTTAGAATGCGCCTAATCAACCACAGATATCACGTAAAATTCCTCGAAATCTACCTCTTTCAAAACACCTCAAACTGCCGGAGCACTCTTTTTATAAGTTATCAGTGACACTTCTGGAATCTGGATTTATATCAAATCGTGAACGCGAACAGCCCGAATCATATTCATTATTCCGATTCAACGTAATTAAAATTCAAATAAATAAAAGTCCGAGAACACCTGCATCGATTAAAGCATTATAAAAACAATACACAACTGGAAATAATTTATCCAAGCATATTGACTGTGGTACTGTGTTTGCAGCCGGAATGGGACCCATGGAGATTTTCTATTATATCTTCAAATGCGATATTTCCTTTTGTTTTCAGATAATATATATTGTTACGAGCGTTCCAGCCGTTGTTCTTTTCCTACTGTCCGTACTTCGTCCTCCTTCTCTTAATGTCCCCGTTTGTCTTTTTACTTTCGCCCGTTACAATCGCCCCCCTCCAAAGGGACTGTCCGTCCCGGACAGAACCAATGTAGTCATCGCGGGCCACATAAAGTTTGAGTTGACTGACATGAGCTGTCAGAGTCCGGTGTCTTCCTCGTTGAGGCAGCGCTCGCAATTCCTCGAGGCGATATGTCACAGGACCGAGTTGCCTGCTTATTTTGAAGGTTCCGCAGTACCTTAGGAGCAATTTTTCGGATCGCTGCGGCCGTCTGAGGTGACTTCGAAGAAGCACTAAATCTCCTGAATGGAACGATGGTCCAGAACTTCCAGTGCGCAGGCGCTGAGTGAGATGTGACTGCTTGTGAAGGATGGCGAGTCGAGCTCTTTCTCTTGCTTCGTGTAGTCGCCCAGAGAAGTCGCATTCATAGTCCCGCGCGCGGCGGGTCCACGTCGTGTTCATCGCTGTCTCCTCTGGAAACGTGGGAAGCCTCCCATACACCAGCTCGAAAGGCGATTGGCTCGTTGTTTCTTGACGGGATGTATTTATTGCAAACGCAGCAGTGTCAATATATTGGTCCCAGTTCTTGTGGGATGAATTAACGAATGCAGCTAATTTACCGCTCAAAGTACGGTTAGTGCGCTCTACCAATCCGTTTGTTTGGGGGTGGTAGGGTGAAGCTGCTGCATGCTCAATCCCGTAGTTCCTAAGGACATCCTTGAAATCACGAGACATGAACGATGTTCCTCGGTCAGAAATGATCATTCGTGGAGTCCCCGCCGCAACACCAGATGGTTGTTCACAAAATTGACGAGGTGTGTCGCTGACGTGTCGGGAACAGCGTGTACCTCAACCCACTTCGTTAAGTAGTCTATGGCCACAATTATGTGCCTGTTGCCATCTTCTGATTTTGGGAATGGTCCCAGATGGTCTATACCGATTACTTCAAACGGACTTCTTGGGGGAGGTATCTGGTGAAGTGCTGCCTTTTCTTGGTTCGGCGATGTCTTGCGCATTTGGCAAGTGGTGCATGAAGCAACGTACCGCCGAACGTCACCTCTCAAACCCGCCCACCAGAACCTTTGAGCGATTTTTTCTAATGTCCGGTGTTGTCCAAGGTGACCAGCAGTTGGAGCGTCGTGACACATGACCAAAACGTTGCGGCGCAGACTTGTGGGAACAACAGGCAGCCACGAATCTGACTGCCGTGATCGATGGCAGAGAAGCCCGTCACAGAGCTGGTAGTGTGCTCGCAAACGTTGCAGGCGTCTTCCGTGAAGAGGAGGAGAGTCACTGTTTGTGTTTGCGAGATCACTGATGATAGTTGACGTCTCTGTGTCGTTTGACTGCGCTGCCTGCAAATCAAGCAGAGCTAAAACAGAAACTGATGAACCATCCTCCACGGGATTTCGGGAGAGGAAGTCGGCGTCTTGATGATGTCTTCCGCTTCGGTGAACAATTGAGAAATTGTACTCTTGAAGTTTCATTGCCCAGCGAGCAAGCTTTGGCGTAAGATCGCTCTTCGATTGGAGCCACTGCAATGCAGAGTTGTCGGTGACCACTGTAAATGCCTTGCCGTAGAGGTAAGGGCGAAACTTTTCCACAGCCCACACTACTGCGAGACACTCCAGTTCCGAAGAGTGGCACCGGCTTTCTGGTTCACTGAGCCTCCTGCTTGCGTAGGCAACGGGGCGTTCTCGACCATCTTTGTCCTGTTGAAGAAGGACAGCACCCAAGCCTTCTCCACTGGCGTCAGTGTGGATGACGGTGCGTGCGTCATCCACAAAATGGGCCAGCGTAGGCGGTTCTAGAAGGGCTCTCTTGAGGTCCGCGAAGGCTGCCGCTTCTTCCGCTCCCCATACAAAATTGGCGTCTTTTTTTAGGAGCCGGTTCAGGGGAGAAGCCTTCACTGAAAAGTTCTCCACAAAGCGACGAAAGTAGAACGCGAAACCTAGAAAGCTCTTTAGTTCCTTTACCGTTGTGGGTACGGGTATATTAGCAAAAGCTGACAGCTTTGCAGGGTCTGGACGAATACCATATTTGTTGACGACATGGCCGAGGTAGACTACTTCGTCATATCCAAAGAAACATTTTGATGGTTTTACACGAAGTCCAGCTTTCGAGAGGGCATCTAAAACAAGACTAAGACGATGTTGATGCTCGTCAAAGCTCTCGGCATACACGATTACGTCATCGAGGTAGACCAAGGCCATGGTTCATTTCAAGTGGCCGAGGACTTTATCCATAAGACGCCGGAAGGTCGCCGGTGCATTGCACAATCCAAACGGCAAACGTCTGAACTGAAACAGGCCGTCAGGCGTTACGAAGGCTGACTTTTCAGCGTCAGCTTGATCAAGTTCAACTTGCCAGTATCCCGAGATGAGGTCCAAGGTCGAGAAATAGTGGGAACCATGGAGACGGTCCAGGGCGTCATCAAGTCGAGGTAGGGGGTACACATCGGGCTTAGTGATGCTGCTCAGCCTTTTATAGTCGAAGCAGAGCCTTGTCGAGCCATCTTTTTTCTTGACGAGCACCACAGGCGACGACCACGGGCTGTTAGAAGGTGTCACTATGCCCCTTCGGAGCATATCGTCAACTTGAGCGTTGATTTCCCGTCTCTCGGGCATAGAAACTCGTCGTGGGTGTTGATGTACTGGCGCGTGGTCACCGGTGTTGATGGCATGGCGCACGAGGGGCGTATAACTCAGCTCTTCTTTCGTAACGGCGATGCAGCTTCGGAAATTCATGAGTAGGCACTGAATAGATTCTTTCTCTGCCGCGGTTAGATTGGGTCCAAAGTTAAACTCAGACCACGCCAGGGGTCCGGTTC